AAAAACATTTTAAGCGTTAACTTTTTTAGTAGCTATAATTATAGAAAAAATGAAAGAATCCGTGCCATTTCACACTTGAAACTGGCCTTTCGAGGGTGTCAAACCCTAAATCTGATTTCTAAAGGCTATTGTAAAAACAAACTCATCTGCCACTAGATTTTCGAAGAGTTTACTCTACCCCCGCTATAATATTTCCAAACAACTTGATTTTAATGCTATTTTATGCAGAGTAATATTGCAAAGCGGTTAGACTGAGCGTGCATAGCCGAGGGCATTAGAGGGACCTCTCTCCGATAAAGGAGTGGCTAAACGATTGCTGTATTCTATCTTAATTAGAGAATTTATACCGTCTAATACATTATTATTATTACCTCCAATCCACGCATTAATTGTACCATATTTGGAATATCCATTAATAATTATGTTGTATTATTAAGCGCATTAGTTTTGTGGATCATGATAATAGACACCATAGGATTTACATAAATACCAGCTTAAATTATAGTCGCGATGAAACTTTTGAAATCTAAGTAAGTGACATTACATTAGACTTGTTTGCTTACCCAACTTTATATCTTTCAATATTAACTTACGTCGCTATCTAGTAGTAGATAATTGATGGAAATTATAAAGTAATAACTATTTATCTGTAGTAAATAATCAATTTGAAAATAAGAAGTATTAAGATCTAAATATCTTATCCCAAGAATAGAACAGTGAGATCTTTGAAACCTTAATTTTCGCAGATACGTATCTATAACAATAGTCTGCATTTTAAAAAATCGACCATATGTAAACATCAACTATTAATTATGAATTTACTTACACTCTTTACACATGATTGTTTTAATCAGAACAAAATGCAAATGCAGCGAGGGCCGATAATTGAACTGCCCGTCTGATCCGTATCAGATGCTGATTGCTGCGCGCCTGCGCTGTAATAAATGTTTATATTAATCCTTTTTCTTTCCATTACGTTATCATTCCTTCCCTATACCGGTAATTGATTGTTGAGGATTCAACTATTATATCGTATACTCGTAGGTAATACGATTTTTTTTTTTGTGATGATGATATTGGTATGTATATGTAAGTGTTTTTGTATTTTTTAATCTGAATTTTATGAGTTTTAACACACTCATTGTCTTTTCTTATAATATATTTGTGCGTAAAAGTGGTGAAACACATATCTTCTTCCTATTTCAATAATAGAAAGGTCTTAAAAATAAGGGGGTTTCAGTACCAAAAAGCAAACGTCAATAATTGAAGTAAAAACGATTAGATTATAAATAACCCTTCAATTAAACAGTCTATAGTCCTCTCTCATTAAATATGTGTATATTAAAACAAAACTAGCGACCAAGTATCCAAGCGGGAGAAGATATCGTAAATAAGTAAAGTCATATCAAGTCGAATGATAGAAAATCATATAGCTAATAGTTCATTCCGAGGGTTTGGTTAATGTTAGCACACCCTATGTGTACATGTATAACTCTTAGCTGACATAAAATCTATAGTATCTCGTATTGGAATGCAGACATCGTGAAATGAGATACGAAAGCTATGAAATTACTCATCAAACTGTCTGACATCAATCTGCGGAGAATCCTGATCGTCCCATAAATAAATAACCAACGAATGTAGTTCCAGAATACGGATAAGGCCACAACGGTAATAAGCTCGTATTACAACTGTAAAAAGTTTAATTTGATGTACTTAATTACAGCAATAAATTCTGAGTGTTTTGCAATGTAATTGCATTTCCTTTGAAAATGACATTGTTTGGGAAAAAAAAACAAAAATATACCTATGACACTGATATGTAAAGTTGATTTATTAATGGAAATGATTACATTATATTTAACCACAGTAAAAATTATGAAATGAGGTAAGAAGTTATTAGAGGCTATTGTCAGATTTCTGCTTTAGAATCGTCTTCTAATTTTGGTGTTGTTTTTTGTCAGTGTAAGTGAATAGATGTCTAAGTTTTCTTTAGTATTTGAGATAAAGTTCCCAAAGCTTGAGTACATACTTCACATTATTACCTGCTTATGTAGATTCTATTGATTAAAAAATACACTACCTATATAGATCGAACTCAATTTACTTGTAGTGGTCGGGCCTATTTTTGTACGGGTTATTTATCTTTTTCGTGAAAATTATTATCCGACAGTGAAAATTAGAAAGAAATTGCATTTTTAAGGACACACAATTTTATAAATCAAATGTGCAAACATCAACTTCATTAATTCAACGATAAACCAATAAGATAATGATTAGTTATTAGAACCTTATAACTGTAGCTGAATATTGATGTAGAGATAACAGAACGGTCCCGTCCATAGCTACATACGGTAATGACTCTCCAATCTATTTTGGCGTAGATGGTGTCATGATGACTCGTTCATTGCCTAATCTGCCTGGTAAACGTGATTTGTTAACACACACGGGACCATTGTTACATGTCGAGAGACGGCCAGAGGTAAAGCTTTCGACATGTTGCTCCACGACGGAGACATATTTTTTATTATAAAAAAAAATCTATTAGAAGCGTGACGAGTTTACGTAACAAGATTTTGAAGTTGATTAGTTTCAATCCTGATCTAGTCATCTTTAGTGATGGGTTATTAAAATATCCATTCTACAAAACTATTATCGGATATATTGTAAAATGAGCGTATTCATTAATGAAGTTCTAATGTCTTTCAGACAGTAAATAAATACTTAAAAAAATGTCTAAATACGTAATCTTCAAAGATAGATAAAAAAGAACACCCCTGACAATATATACAGATATTACTACATTGGTCCTTAGCTTGAAGTTTGTATTTCAAAATTATTAACCGGATCAATAAGGTAATCAACATCCGTATTGGCTGTGCCTTGGCAAAAGCTTAATACAGTGTTTCTTTTTTTTATTATTCCGATTGGTTTTAATCTAGGGTGCTCATCGATCCACTTGTGATCTTTGATGTTGGTACTAAATGAAGTGTATCTATTGATAGTATTTTCAAGTACCTCAACTGACGTCATTTACATTTACGGATCCAAATCTAAATATAACTGTTACCTACGTCCGTCTGTTGCTATCTCCGCACAACTAGCTCCAAATAGTAAAACAATCGTACCGCATAAAATATTTAACGACTAACAAGCATCGATTCAATCCACAACAGAGTCCTGGGGGCGACGACCCCGCCGGGAGGTGGTCCTGTCAAAACGAATTCACTTCTCATTTTTTCTCGTTTATCTTCACGATCAACGCTTTGTTGTGTAATTACCGGACGAGGAATTACCGAAAGCTGGACTGAGGCGACCCCAGGTCACGGCTCACCGGCCCGCATCAATGGACCTTCGGTAACGATTGTGCAGGACACTATCTGATTTATTGCCTCGTCCCGATTGAGACATCGACGGCAATATTGTGTTGCGCTCCGATTGATCTACCTTATTGATAGTTCACAACGCTCACTACCATTGTTTGAATATCGCACTTTCGCCTTCGTCATCGGTAGATGTCGTAAAACAAAAAGGCGCATTGATTGATGACGGCGGCAAAACGTTCCAGTCTATTCTGAATGAATGGCTACATCAGTGATGCATCGACTGGTCTACCGGCGATTTGTGAACTGAAACAATACATCAATAGCGACGCGATTGATAAATAAGTCTCGTTCAGCGATTTCCTTGGGCCGCGGCCGCCGGTCGCACCGGTTTACTTGGACCTGGTTCCGTATAAACATCGTGCGTTGATTGATAAACGCTGGCTTCTTGATTGAGACTTTAATACCGATCTGTGATTACGGTGTTATCGAGTTGCGGTAACATGATGACAATATTATGCACTGCATTAGATAGTCTTTAGATGAGCATCCGATATTGAAAAAAGTAATGAAAATTATTACCTATACTGTGAAATTGTGAATTCGCAAGTGCTTCTGGAATATTTAAGGCAAAATTTTGGACTGCTTTATTATCACAGCGAATGATTCTTTGTAGAGAGGTTTTTGCACCCTGAATGAGATTAACCGCCTTTTTATATGATTGATCTGTACAAGTGGCTACCACACTTGAGGTATCTGAAGCGGCTCCTATTTACGACGTAACTCGCAGTATCTCTATAACGTCTTTATTTAATGCGTCCTTTTGGGCGCGCTAAGTTAGCACATATAACTGCCGTTTCATGACGGAAATCTTATCTTGAATCCGCTCCAATTACCCCAATCGTAATGTCAAGCGGTTTAGTATTAGTGGCCGCTCTAATTCATGAATGGGATAATTATTTGGCAACTGAGAGTCGTGCGGTCGTCGACCCCCGCTCCCGTGATAACCTGCCGGGAGCGAGTCGCGCGGAAGTACCGACCTCGATCTTAAAGGTCACGATCTGGATTTCGACCGGCACCGCCGATCTGCTACAATTTTCTTATAATTTAGATAAAATTGGACGACCGGAATGCGGGAGCGGCCACTTCCTGGGAATCTGTCTGTGAGTGCGTGCGGTTCATGGCAAAATCTTATCATGGTTCTTGCCAATTTAAGAATATGAATGACCAATGTTTATTAACACCATGTGCGGTTTTGTTCAACCTTATAAAATAATGAAAACAATTTAGTTTAAACCTAGTTGAATGAATAGATGTTCATAAAATTATTTCAATTAAAAATCCGTTTGTATTATCAATAATACCTGACCTTAGTTAAATATCATAATTACAATTATCAATAGTGTATCTTTTGTTTTTGTGTTTGTGTTGATTTACTGGCTAATGAGAGCATAAACAAATTGTGTATGTTTGCTTTTTATTGGCAATATTACTTTTTCAGTTTAAATTGAAATCAACTGTTACTCAGTGGGTGAAATTCCAGTATCAATTCTATAGGTATTGAGTTTTTGCAGTTTAACTAATATTTTATCCCTTTAGTTTCATAGGGTTTTAAAATGACATGAATCTTGGTCCATAGAGTACCTATACGTGATAATTAAGCCTTTGAAAATGAAACTACAAAGCCACGTTAAATCTCAGCACATACCATATTTGAGTCCGTACCACGTCTTGTGGTACGGCTGGTATCGCCTTGCGGGTGGTAAGGGACGCCTCCTCTGCGCGCATGCGGGCGCGCAACACAGCAGATAGAATCTCTTGTCGCGCACCTTCTCGGCCGCCTTGAGCCGTTCCCGCGCTGCACGTCCAGCGCATCGCCGCGGCGAACTGACACCCCACACACCCACCACCACAACGGCCATCACCAACAGACACCAACGCATGACTGACCACTAACCAATCGCCATTTCCTAATAACACTAATCACTTTTAGATATTTGTATATTCATTAGCTACTCAAGATATTGATTCGCGACTAGCTTCTTAATAAATTAAACAAAAGTCTTCATAAACGCGTTTTTTTATGATTTGTCAATATTATCTCCCATGAAGAAATCAAGTCCTTTATATTTGGATGCTGTGATTTCAAAATGTTTTCGTTCAATTCTTCAAATGCTTTTGCGATTTCTTATAATTAGTTTTGAAAGCTTTACTAAAATTCGTCATTTTCATAAATACGCCAAGGCAAGTTGTACAATACAACTTTCTTGCATTGTCACTGGAGAATTTTTAAAATTTTCTACAGAAATTAAAAATGTTTGAACTAGAACTCCTTCATTTATTCTTATTTTAATTTCTTCAGTTAATTTACTGTATTAGTCACGTTTTCGAACACATCTAATGGATCCGATTTTCGGAAATAACTAACTGAAAAAAACATTAAAAAAAATCTAAATCAACGGAACTTTTTTAACTTCACTGTTTATCATAATCCACTTTTTCATTTCATATCCAATGGGTTCCTATAAACACATTCACTCGATACAGACGTAAAGTTCGACTTTATTTATTACGTTCGACGGTCAGTGCTGGTAAGCGTGCACTCACCTCGGCTTTGCCGTGGCGACTAGCGACTATACGAGACGGTTGCTCTGAGTTTCTAGGAGTATAGGCTTCACAATCCTGACCCGATAACAAAATACTAACTGTAATTCTAAAATCATAGAACTCAATTTCTTAACACATTCAGTTTCATAAAATCAAACATGATAGCAAGAAGATATTACACCGTAATAAGTGACGGCTTTAAGAATCACAACTAACAGATTCATATTATTTACCTACAATATTTTCTTGATCCCTGTTAATTTATTCATAGTCACATGTCGCGGGTGCGAGATATTTTCGAGTGTAATCGCCATCTTAGCGTCCGTCGTCGGACCGGCACGCGAGTCCACTAATTAGGCGGCCGTTCGGATCTAGAGATTGTCTCCTGATAACGGATGATAAAAACGCACGGGTGGTCGACCGCGAGACACGTCCATCAAAGCCTACCCCCTATGTCCTACGCACAAGGTCCACTATCGCACTACCGATCTCTATATTATGCTTTTCCAATCAATGCACGGATATTTGCTATAATATGCAAATTAACGCGGTTACATGTCTCCAGTTGTAAATCGTTTCAGGTTATTGCCGCTTTTATCATATGTTGTTGTGTTTTAAATGTTGATGTGTTTTAAAGCAAATTTTTCTTATCATTTCTTTTTTTCTACAGCTGTCTTGATATTCGTTTGCATCTAAATATCTTGTTAAGTTAAATGATACAAATATTTATAAGATGATTCAAACATTTATTATTTTTTCGTGTAACCATTAAGGTCCAATTTTTATATTATGCGAGGTTACAATTTTTGTTTAGTTTCAAGAAGATACTTTTATAAGAAGATACTAAGATCTATGTAGTGATTAGGACATTCAATAAAGATTCATTGAATAAGTTTTTTTTAAAGAATGACTAGTAGTTCACTGTAAAGAACAAAAAATAGAAACTGGGAACATAATATAGGTTTTTTGTTTGAGTTTTTTTTTTTAAAGTATGATCAAATTGTGGTACACTTACTTAGTATTTTATAGTTACTGTAGTAACAGTCATAAGTAATAGTTTCCTTTAGATTGCAGTGGTCTGTGTATTCTAATAGCTCGTTATCTAGACCATGTAACAAAAACTGATCTGCCATTAAACGGATACCACTAACGAGTAGGAGCTGCACTAATATTCTCAAGGGTCTATCTAGAGGTTTTAATCCAATATACCTAATGCTGAAATAATCTAGTTTTGATATTTAGTTAAAATATTTCAATAGATAACTAGTTTTGTTATAGACAACTTATAAATCTATCAATATTCATTGGTGTAGGCATATGAAAGAAACAGATAAACCACCTAATGATGACTAAATTTTCTGTAAAAATCAACGTGGTTTATGTTTATTGAATTTATAATAGCTAATATTAATATTAAAACTAAGTACTTTTATAGTGAAAAAAGCAGAATAACTGTTATAAATTATGAATCACACTAAGTCGTGATTGAGCGCTTAGTTTGTAACTAATTAAAACTAGTAATTGATTTGCGGTCACTAATGAGAACGAATTGTTTGTTAACTTTGAATGACCTATTCTCGGAATATCACTCAGCACCGGATCGGAAACTTCTAACTTAAATAATTTCCGTTCAGTAGATCACTTAATATTAAAATAATGAATGATTATAACTCATTAACTATCAAACGGGAAGTCATGTGGTTATTTCTAAGTAACCAACGAATAGACCAGAAAAGTGTAATTAAATGTACATTGTAGTGAGGTTTTAAAAAAATTATTGGTAAATGACCATAATTATGGATAGTGTAGAAAAAATTATGGCGATTGTATCTTTAAAAAAATGTATTTAGTTTTTTTATGTCACAATGACATCTCATATTTATCTTAAGATAAAATACTTAAAAAAACTTAATCAAAATCAAACCTAGGGTACAGTTTTGGAAGAACTCTCGCCCGGTTTAAATAATTTATAAAATTTTAGCATATCATATTTGAATTTTAAATGGTACAGAATATTTTCATAATGGTTACAAAATATCGCTGAGTAAACGAGTGAAACTATTTCTGCGTGCGCGCAACTCGATATTAGATTATGCGGCACTCCCAGTCTGCCATTGTGAACCCGAACAAATGGACTACCATATCTCCTGCGCTTTATCGAACCCATATTTCGCTAGTACGACTTCAATGTTAACATCATCAGAAAAACTTGATTTTAATGCTATTATGAATAGATATTAGCCGATGTACGAGTATATTTGTATCATTGAAATTGCCCTTGTTTTACATGGATTACAGTAATAATATCTTAAATAAAGACATCAAAGTTATCTCTGGTAAGAAATGGCTAAAAACTGTTTTTTTTTACAAATTTTATTTTATTTTATCGCCAAAAAAGACAAAATAATCAAATGATATCCATGCCAGCGACAGGCAGAGAAAACCAACCACTACCACTTAATAGTTATTTTCATAAATTTTTAACCTATTTCAAAAAAAGGAGGATGTTTCAATTTGACTGTTTTTTTATATGCTTAACGATATCTTTGAGAAAAATGGGCCAATATGGATTTTTTTTTAAAGGGAACAGTATTAAAAATCAATAAGGTTCAGATCAGTAGTTTTTTGAAATTACACTTTTCACTGACATTTTTCACTGAAACTAATTTTTATGGCTCTCTTCCTGATAACACACGATCAATTTGATAAAGAAAGTTAAAAAAATAACAGAAAAGTTCCAATCAACGTTTCTACGAAACGTAAATTCAAATTTAGATTGTTACATGAGCAGTATGCGCAGACGCATCGCTAACTCGATTGGCATCAAACGCAGCCTGCTATTGCGATTACTATATTACTGTGGACAGACGGACAGTCGTTTCTTTCATGTTTGTATTCTGTTTCCAATCGCGACCGACATCTTGAGTAACTAGAAATGAGACGAAGTTGGATGTTAAGGCGAATACTCTACCTTTACAATAAAAAAGATAAGTGCTGAATGAAAAAATAATAGGAAATTGGTTCAAAAACTTAGGTAAAGCTAATTGTTTTATAGAATTATCGAAATTTGGACTTTGGATAAGATAAATGAAAGATTTTATTTCGCTATTCAATCGTTTTCCTCCAAACAGCGGCCTGTCAAAAACCATATACAATTGCACAGTTGATATGAATAAAAGCACAACTATTATCAGTTCTTAAATTCATAAATTTTATTCCAACTCGTCTGACGACAGGTGGAAAGTACATTACATAAATAGTAATTGAGATTCCGAAATTCAAATAAACTAAACTGTGTTCAAACATTTATATTTATTTACAACATAAAACGCAAAATTATAGAAGATACTACGATTGCTACATAACTATTATATCATCATAGTGCCATCGTCGCCTTTTTATAGGCTCCAACTTATTAAGATATAAAGGTATATTTTTTATCTTATAATTATTTATTAATCATTACATAGTATAAAACAAAGTCTTTTTCTCTGTTCCTATATCTATATATATGCTTAAATCTTTAAAACTACGCAACGGATTTTGGAACGGTTTTTTTTCATAGATAAGGTGATTCAAAAGGAAGGTTTTTATGTTTAATACAAGACCACGCGGGCGAACCCGCTGGCGGAAAGCTAGTATTTTAATTAAAAGGAGATAGTACGGCGCTGCGTGTAAGAGGCGAGAAGTAATAGTTGGCACATTTTTTCAAAAGCTTGACCGTGTTATTTTAAACTTTTGCTAAATTACATTAGTTATATGGAAATCCCCTTAAAGAGTGTCGGCGTAGACAGTGCGACGCTCATGCGCCATCGCCGACAGACGACATTCTTAATGCTGGGGTGTTTATAATTGTAACACTATTTCAGTTGTTACTGAACAAAGGTATATTCAAGAACAGATTGTGATACCCACTTTTGTTATATGTGTGACGCGTGTGATTAAAATTTGTAATAGTCTCAGTCTAATGAGTAGAACACTAAAAAATCAAATAAAAAAAAACAGTCGAGGAACCTATTAGATCACTGCCTGCAGTGATAATTTTGTTTATTCAAGCTTTAACCCAACTTTATTTTTATTTTTAATTTGATTTTGGAAGTAGTGATTTTTTTTTATTTTTTAAATTATTTATTTGTACTCTATTCCTTTTAGTAAGCATTTAATTATGCATACAAATAATATATTGCATATTTTTAAAAAGTACTCATCAAGACCTTTAGTTTGTTACCAATATTGCTATATTTTTTTATATTATTAAAATGGCGTCATACATCCGCCATATTAAATATTTTTTGAAATATACATGATAAAACGTTACTACTAATACCCTATACATACAAATCTTTCAAAAGTTATAGTGAAA